AAATTCATCAGAAAACAGTAAAGCCACTACGCTGCTTTGTCTATCACTTCCAGCAGATGCAAAGACTAATGGGGACAAGCCTATTCTATGCCACATCATAACCCTCAATAAAGGAGGAAAAGTAATAATAATGCAGAGTTCAGAGAAACAGCCTTATTTCATTATGTTTTTAGAAGAGCTAAACCAATCTAGATGTTCGTAATTGAAAATCATGCAACGTTTTGGTACAAAGTCCCGATGCTTAAGGCTCTGCTTTAAGCAGCAGCTGTAAAAGAGGGAGCAACTTTCTCAAGTCTGATGTTATTTTTAAAGTCACCAGCTTTGAAAGTAAAAAAGCAACCTTCTAAAATCAGAAGGCAGTTCAGTTTCTGCCAATGGCAGCTGTTTTCATTTGCACCTGCACAATCCCAAAGAGAAGTGTTTAATACTCAAATCGCAATAATTCCACTGATGTAAGAGGTGCAGTAGCTGCAACCTGGGAATAATAATAAATATAAAAATGTACTATTATTACTCTAATTTAGACTTCTGTCTGCCAACTTCATTTGCGAAACAGATTTAGTAATAATGTTTTCCAGACATCGTATGCCAGTCTGGTCAATTTAGACATGCGAGAGTTGGTTTGCATGAAACTCACTCACACTACGTTTTTAAGAACATGCTTTTGCAACTAGACCAGCTTTTACACTGCTTTAGTGACTTTTTCCCCCTCCAAATACATCAGTGTATTCCAAGAGGGGAGAAGAAAGGGAAATGTTTAATTTAACCTTAAAAATACACTTCAGTATTAGGGACAGAGAATTTTAGAAAATGCTTACAAAGTCAAAGTCAGGGCCCTTACCACAATGATACTGTATCTGGTCGCTTCCACTGAATTAAATACAATTACAGCTATACAAGAAAGCAGAGGTCAGTCCTAATGACATGGTAATTTATGACTACCTAGATTCAGAGTCTATATAACCCTCTTGTTTGATGAAACAGGAATTAGAGAGGTCCAATTTTAGATTTATAACAACTGAGTAAAGCAGATTTGTTTGGAGACATGCATGTTGCCAAGTCTTTAGAGTCATTAACAAACCTTTAGAAGACTTAAAGGCAGTAATTCATGGGCATTTGTTAAATCCCAAAGCGTACAGCATATGTGAATATGGTGTTCTATTCCCTTCCATGGAGAAAGGAAAAGTCTGAAATCTGTGAAAAGATACCAATTTCATGCACCAGTTAAAAGGTGCAGTGAAGCATAAACACCGAAGCCCAGAATTAACAGTCGCTTTTTGGGGCTTTCCAAGTGTTCTTTTTTATTCTTAACAAAGCAAAGAGTATCCAATATCCCTAGGACCACTACCCGATTAGTTTTTCTGCGTCCTAAATATACCATCATTTCTGTGTACTAGATGTAACACCACAGATTTCTGGAAGAAGCCATTTGCTTTTAAGCTGTCCTGCAAAGGCAAGCTGAGACCAAGACAAACGTAACAACTTCACTTCTCCATACACTTCTATAGCAATCATTTAAGATCATTCTCACTCAACCTACCTCTACATTTATTTAATTCCTGTAGGCATGCTAATTCTTTCAACCCTCGGTAATTCTGTTCATCTTTTTTTTTTTTTAACATTAAAAGTGTACGAATAAAGTCTTACGTATCCTAAATTAGAATATCTCCAAAACATTCTGGCTATTTCTGTTTTTATAATGTCTGAAATTGACTTACTTTGAGATCTAGGCAGCAAAGCATACTAGTTTGTTCTCTCAATTCCTTTACCTGGCAGATATCCAACTGTACTAATGCCAACAGGAGCTATCCATAAGTAAATTAAATAGATTGTTTTTTCGTTCTCACCATTTCTGTGCGTAAGCATTTCTCTCAGCTCTTCATGGTCACATGGATGAGTGAAATCAAATACACTGTGCCCCGTCAACTCAAACTGCAAAAGAGGTATACAGGTGTCTAACTTCATATATACAAAATTGTAACAACTTTTACAGATTTGGAACAGTCTTAGGAAATGTCAATATTTCACCTGAGTGAGTCCCATACACTTGTTCACATTTTCAGACATGTAAATCATGTCCCCATCTTCAGAGAGAACCATGACAAATCCATCAAGAGCTTTCAGGTAGAAACAGTTCAGTTCCTTCTCCATTTTGGCTTCTGTCTCCAGCTCACCTATAAGGACCCACACATTTATATTAAAGTAAGCATCACTCATTCTGTGCTTACTATCAGGAATGACTTCTGGCACCAGTCTGCAAGGAGCCAATCTTGCAGGACTGTTCAGAAGTAGCATAATTTACTTAAGTAAGTGATAAATTAAATTCAAGGTCTACCATGAGTCAGAGAAAATCAGAGTGACATTTAACATCTGTGCTTTGATACAAACACCAATAAACCTCCCAACTTCAGGAAAGTCTAGTTGACAAAAATACTACCATTTGCCTCAAAGAGACCTTACAAAATTTTCTCAGGGGCTTCCTACGAGACAAACAAAGCTACTCCTCTGTATGGTATATGTAGGCGTAGATGAGTACAAGTAACTAGTACAGCATCTGTGGCAGATGTACCCTGGGTTCACTTCACCTTCAGTAGAATTTGAATCATAAGAATTTCTTCCAATTTACACTAAAGAGAAACACATACAGTTAGCTACGTTAGCCCTACACCAACCTTCTACAGTTTAGTAAAGCCTTAATTCCCTAGGGTAAAAAAAAAAAAAGTTAAATGAAAGAAGTTAACTCTGGGAGAAGGGTCAGAACAGAGAGAAACAAAGTCGATTAAATTAAACAGTGGCCATATTTTTTTGTGCCATCTTTTTGATGAAAGGTCTTCTACCTTTCCATACAAAGGATACAACTATTAATTGTTTTTCAACTGCTGAAACATTTTAGCAGTTGAAAATTGAAAGTCTCCTTCCTCAAGGTATCTCCAGTCCCTTTTCCAGATCCTGCTGACAATTTATCTGCTTACCAGCATCCAGCAGCTTCCTCATGCGCAAGTAGCTGATGGTCAACCTCATGATGGAGGCCTTGTCAAGGTGGGCGCTCACCGTGTGCGGAAGAGGCAGCTGATGAGCAAGTTCGTAGAACACTTCCGACTCCTTGCTTCTTCGACATCGAGCTGCATCTCTTGATTTTTCTTTCCTGCGTTCAGAACTAATCCTGTATAAACAAAGTTTGGGGTTAATATGAAAACTGCAAAATTCTCTTAAGTTCAATTTGAAGCTGCCTAAGCTGCCCGGGAGCCAATTAACCAGTTATTGAAGTTGGATTATTTAAAACCTCAGTTTATATATTTAAATGTAATTCTGTATATACAGCTCTGCAGCAATCAGGCTCTGACAGAGTTAGATTCAAAACCACAAAGTCTTCCAGCAGAAAAAAATCAGTTCTTCAGACAGACATCTACAAACTACAGTTCTCACAGTCCTTGTCTCACACCTTGCCTGCTGCCTCTCCAGCCTCCAAACTCTTTCTCCTTCCTGGTCCTTAAAGCCTAAAATCCATCCGAAATACCACAGTTTAAGTTTCTAGTCTAATGCTCCAGTAATATCATTTCTACTCTCCACGCTCTTCCTCTTACCATCCCATCCCTCACATGCTAAAGCTGTCATTCATCCCTACAGAGCCTGCCAAACAGGTCAGATAAGCAAGCCTACCCATATGGTGTGAGGTGTCCTGCTTTGCAAGTGCTTCAAAAAGTCCCCTTCCCACTTCTTCCTCCAGCACAGCCCCTTGCACTGCCTCTTCAGCTTGCATCAAGTCAGCGACAGCTCGCCAAGAGCAGGCACAGACACAGCTGTGCTCCCCAGCCGTGATCCCAGTAACCCTCCCTTTTCCAGGTGCCCACATCAGTGGAAAATAACTGCACTGAAATGTGCTTTTACTTTTAAATGGCCTATGGAAAGTAGTACCATATGGTTTTGCATCTTTCTTTTTTAATATATACACACATATGTATGTGTGTCTTTCAAAGGCATCCCATCTTCTGCTTACATACAACCAGGATGCAAAACGCAGCTGTACTGATCTGTAGGATCCCCTTCTTCCCATCTACTTGAATGCAAGTTGTAAGATAAATAACATGCCCACAAACACTGCTTTTGTAATTCAAAGCACATGAATGTTACCATAAAGAGACCAAGCGTCACTAGTTGAAGATGACGGAAGATAAGCTTTTGTTACTACTGTATTATATTTGCTACCAACAGTTTAGGAAATACATTTTTTTTTTTTTAATTTCAATAGACTTAAAAGGCAAGCAGTAGCATTGCCAATTTCTCATTGCTAAGTTTGTGCAAAAAATCTTTTTAATTAGCACATTGGCCTGCGAGAGGTACCACAGATGACAGAGGAAAGTGATTCACTGGCTGATAATACCCAGGCAGTAACAACCAGGTTCAATGTAAGCAGTTAAACACATGCATAAATAATGTGCTGCTCGCAACAGCCAAAAAACCTGCTTCGTTTGTGCACGAGCACCCAAGTGACCACACTACTGGTGTACATAAGACCGACCTGGGAAGCACGAATGCCTTGACATAAAGAAGTTTAAAGGGATGTTTTATAGACAAAGTGAGCCATCAGGATTTCTTCTGTGACTACCTTAATTTTTTCCAACTTTGGGAAACTGTAAGGCACGGATGGGATACACCATGCCTGTCTTCTACCCCTTTGGCACTGCCAACAGCAGAAAGCATTAAAAGCTTTGTTTTCTGAATCCTACATTTTATAATACGTAAGGTATATTTCATAATAGGTGTGATTGTTACCTCCTTTGTGGCAGAATCAGGCTGCAAGGTCACAAAACCAGCACTTCTTTATCATGAGAAACATTAATATATCAAAATAATAGTAATGGAGGCCTCTGGATAACTAATTTATGGTTATATGAGTTAAAAAAAATCCTGATACACACTAAATCGATCAGTTTCTGTGAGTATAGCTTGTGTTCCCGAAACAGGTAGCACAAAATAACTGATGATCTCTCTTATTGCAGATTTCTTTCCATTCAGTCTCAACCTGAAGGCTATTCCTGCTCCAGAACTGGTATCTGGGTCTGAGAAGTTTGAGGTTCCCAACATGCAGATGTAGTCTGAATGTCATTACTAGCAGCCTGAAATGGTCAGGCTGAAACAAATTGAATACCGAATGTACAATACTGAAAAAAGATTTCAGTAATTTAACCTGATTGAGTATTTCTTACTGAAGTCAGGCCTCAAGTACCTTTTCTCTTGGAAGAAAACTAAGGGTGGAAGTGAAAATCCCTTCCCAATTCTTTGTCCTTTTCCCGGACCACAGAATTCACTTCTGACACAGGTAAAACAAGTAATTATGCTGCCTTTGACAGCTTCACCTTTATCCTTCTGCTTTTCCCCTTGTTAGCTACTCATTTCAGATCCCTTCACCTGTGAAAAATTTGCTCTGCTACAGAAAGGAAAGGGAGAATTACTTGAAGTAATTCACTTCCATCTGCCTGGCTGCCAGCGCCTTGCTATGGCTTCCCTTTAAACTGCAGGCAGCACTTTTATGTAAAAAAAATGTAAAAAAAATGGAAATAGCTGCTCACCAGTTGCAATGTTAGCCCTTCCTCTTATGTTTTCTTTGTGAATGCTCCATGTTCTTGAAAATATTTCAGCCACTTTCTAGATTTTGTTTGGTTTTGGCATACTTTAGCGCACAACTTCTCGTGGCCACTGAATTATTAATTACCAGCTGAAATACCGCTCAAATCAAGCTCATAGCACCGCCGTTAAAAATTAATCCCAGAGCAAGAGAACTGGGTGCTGCCTGCTGGAGCTCTGCCCGGTGTTACAATGGGCAAAACTCATGTGAAGCCGAAGTGTTAGCACCAAGTGCTGGTGTCCCAGCAAAGCCAAAATGTTAATACCAAGAGCTGGTGTCCACGAGGCAGGCTCTGGTCTCCCCCTTGCTATATATTTCCTTACGAGAAAGGCTACTACTATAGATAGATGGTTAAACTGTACAGCACAACAGCTTGCTATTTTTAGCTGTTGTTGAAAACTAAGCTGTAACTAATCGGAGTAAAACCCAGCAATTTAAATAGGAAGATTAATCTCCAGCTTCAAAGAGCGTTTCTTTACTGGATCAAATTAATGGGGAAAAGGTCTTTCACAAATGAGGTTTAATTACCAAGTGAAGTCAGAGTTACCTCAACCTGGGATGGCACCAGATACAAAAAAGAAAAGCAAAAAAATCCCTTTACTGTTGTAACTAATCTGAGCTTTGTTGCTTCGAGTTGCACAAAGTAAATGAGAAAGCACGGTGTGTGCAGCTGCCCACAAATTTCTGTGTAGTCAATTAAAGGACATTGAATTCCCATACAGAAAATACATCTCTGAAGTGAGCTCTGTCAGCGAGAATAAAAAGGGAGCTCAAGGAAGGGGCCTTTAGACACTAAGATGTGAACTAGCACTAAGATTAAGTAAGTCACATAACTGAAGAGCCATTTCAGAAGTGCCTATGCTTAAAAATCCTGGTCTCCACAGCAAGCGTACCCTGTATGGGGAACAGGAACCCGAGTCCATTTAAAAGAAAAGCAACTTCGGAACGATTTCAACCTCCTGCTATCTGTTTCGCATAAAAGAAAGCCACCTAAGGATTCAGAAGAAAGATCTCCATTGAAGAGCAGATTATACATGCAATGAAAATATCAGAAATGCCCACTCTAGGCAGGAAATTGCATGCGTTTTCAGGTATGTTTCCTGCCCGATTTCAGTGCCAGACATTCGTTTCCATTTTGTGTTCCCACCACCAGAATACAGAAGCAGAAATCAATCTAACGCAGGACACACGCTGCAGCTCACCGAAAACACTGCTCTGCTGACAATTTTAAGACCAATACTCGGCACAGCTTACATGTGAGAGATGTTCGCATGTAATGGCTGAACAAACAGCTGAGTTCCCAAAGCTACCCAAGTCAGACACCCAAAGCAAAGCCCTATTTCACCACCAAGATTCACTGCAGCTAAAGCAAGGGCTCAGCTGAAGGGTATTACCCAGGCTCCCACTCCTGCCCCACACGAGAAGGGCTTTAAAACAAGGGTGAATATAAACAGAAGTCTTACAGCAGCCTTTCACAGCAAGCAAGAGCCAGTCCAGCAGCCTTCAGGCAGAGCCCACCAGCAGCAGCCACACGTGCACCAGTTGCAGATGTCAACGCAGCCCCCGTACTCGACATGCAATGCCTGTAATTGCAGCTACATGAGCTACTGGGGCCACAGCATCTTTCTTAAACAATGCGTTGTTCACCGAATCATCTCAAAGACCCCACCACGGCACGTTTCTACAAGCAGCTCCACAGTCTTCTAAAAATAACCCTGTTTTCCTCTCCTCAAGTATAAAAACAATCCACGGCCACACTGAAAGCTGCCCCATTCCTCCTTACGTAACACCACTAACAGAGACCAAGAAGAACCCTGGAAAATGCCATTAGTAACCAATACATTGAAATTAAAAATTGCTAATGAGATTTAAGACCTGCACACTGACCAATTTTTATAGCTGTGGCATATGAACTTTGCCTCGTTCTAGTTTCTTAAATCATCACCCAGCATCAAGGACAACTCCGCATCGCGTACACAGCATTACATTGTTTTACTTTCTTCTGTATTTTGCTTTACTGCTATTTATTTTCTCTCCTTTCTAGCTGCACACTTGTTCATACTACCTTACCCTTCCTCTACTCAGATTTCTCCTTTGTAGGTGTTTTCAATTCCCATGTAAAACAGCTATTGTGCACGCGGGAATTAATCCAGCCTCATCTTTCCTGACTCAGGCCTGAGAACATTCTTTAAAAAAAAGTTACAAACATCTCGTGTTAGTGATTCACAGTCCCCTTCTCAGAATTGTTTTCCACAATTGAGTGAGTTTGTATACTGCATTTAAACAGTTTCACGGAAGCGTACCATGTGGAAAGAATACAATCCAAATGAATAACGCGTCTCAAACACTGTAACTTCTCGTTATTGATCTTTAAGTGGCTTTCGGTTCTGATCTCCTTCGTTTGCCAACACAAGATTTCATACGCAGTGCTCCCGGGTCAGAAGCAAACTCCCCCGAGACCGTCAAAGTAGTGCCAGCAACAGCAGGCTTGGACGATAACATCTTCTATAACACAGCTTTGGTTTTTCTTTAAGCAGTAAAGAAGACAAGATGCAGCTATTGCAATAAAATCATACATTAACACTGTATGTTGATTGAGGGTATTTGAACTCAGAAAGGAGACGTGTAAGTGGCCTTGTGTTTAGCCCTTCAGGTTGAATTTTCTCCTGCAGTTCGAAGGAAATGGTCATCAGCCTAAAAGGGAGCTTCTGCCAGCACAGCTGTGTGGGCCAGGGGCACAGCTCCTGGTCTGCAGGTACCTCCACATGGGCATCGCCACACTACTGTAACCAAAACCTCACACCGACAGCTCTCACCTGCCACCACGCAGCAGTACACATGGACACGGGCTTGCTGGAAAGGCACGGGCTGCCCAAAAACACGCTAGAGCAGGGCTCTGCTCTTCGGGCTGCGCTGAACATGCTCTGGTTTGATGTCACTGTGGTTAGATTCGTTCAGGGCTGCTGGTCACAGCGCTTACCGAATCCTTCCACGGAAAGAGGACCCAGCCGAGCCCAGCGCTTACCGCAAACTAGCACAGCACAATTCAACTTCCATAAAGAGGCCTTCGTAAGAAAACCAGGTTTATGATGTAAACAGAGGGCACCACTCAAATCCGCTTTTTTAAGCATACGGCAAGCGCATGATGAAGTGTTTTTTAAAACAACACAAAAACAACCCCCTGCCCACCTTCTGCCCAGCACACACATGGAATAAGCCTGCTTGTCTTAAACAGAAGAGCCAGGCAGTGAGGCGAGGAAGAGGAGGGCCAGAGGACCTTCATCCCGTGTGCCACCTCACAGGACTGCCTGCTGCTGGCACCCAGCCTCCCAAGAGCAGGGAAAGGCATTTCAGACGCTGCTCTCCAACATATAACGCAATCAGAACTTCCAGGTGAAGGAATCATCGAGGGACGGGCTCTCCAGGACCTGCAGTGAACTTCCACACACATTTTCCACAGGTTTTTCTTTGCAGGCTGGTGTGGAAGGGTGCTCCTTCCTTCCTCCTCCAGCTGCACCGCGCAATTAGCATGAGCTCTCAGCTTCCAGCTCACGATGAACTCCAGGCTGCGGCTTCATCTCTTCTGACTTTGATGTGATTTTAAATATCACTGCTTTTGCCATTATGGCCAATTTATCAGTTTTCCTTATTTTGTAATCTGTGTAGAATAACCAACACCCTGATCTCCTGCACAGTTGCGAGCATGTGATCTTCTAGATGAAAGTCTTGCTCGTTATGAATTAATGAACTTTAAAGCCCAGTAATGTAACACAGAAAATTAGCTACTGTATATAAAGGATTTCTAAGATTTTAAAAGAAATTTAACAGTAAAAACTGGAGTAACATTAAGGCACAGAAACAACACTTCTGTATGTAAACTATTGGTTAAGCTTCATTCCTTTGTACATTTTCTTCTGACAAAGCAATTTAAGCTGCTTTCTTTACATTGCTGTGGTTATTTAAGGGCATTTAACATAATTTGAACACCACTAAAAACCTCTTAACTGAAAAGAAACCTAACAAATTAAGAGCAAGCAGACAGTTCAAACCGAGTTAGCTTCTGAATGAGCAGTGCTTTGAAACCCATCCCTACCTGCGGAGTAATAGCAGGGGCTGGCTCTCCTTGAGCTACACAGTGAACAAAATACAGCGAGAGGTTTTACTACCAGGACCATGAGGTCTGTATTAGACGTCTTACAAACAGGTAAATGATGGCATAAAAGAGCCAGCAGCAGCCTAGCACTCCTAAAGCTAGCGCAAGGCCACACTTCCAAGATTATCTATCAACTGTACTTGGCCTCGTGCTGACCTGGAAACCCTCCTTCTCCCTGCTTAGAAAGCATAAGAAGGTAAAAGCTTCCAAATTTAGTATTTCTAATTAAGAACGTGGTGAAGTGATTCTGCTGTGTCTTACTATACAGTGTAACCCCCAGACATTTTCACTGTGCATAGTAATTTACTGTGTAAAAATAATCATAGGACATACAAAGGCTGTTTGTATTAAAATCCAGATTTTTTTTTCAACCATGTTATTTGGCTTTTTTTCTTTTAAATAGCTGTACTCTACCCTTCAGGGGGAAGGGTGCATAGTAGTTAAATCATGGTTATTACTAAAAAACTACATGAAGATGATGCCTGGACACGGACAGAACTAACCTTCAAGTGCTCTCCCCCCTCCAACACTCTTGCTGTTAGTAGCTCTTGCTTCAGCCAGGCTCACAAAAAAGATGAAAAACACATCCCTAAGATGAGTTCTTCACTTGACCTCGCAGCTAACACTGTTTTAGTTAGGAGCTAGTCTATCCTCACACAGTTGGAGACTCGAGTTTTCCAGAGCAGAGACTGAAGGTTTTTCCTCAGTGCTTCAACGCAGGTTCTTCACCTCATCTCTTCACCTTGCATTCCTCAACTGCTTTCGCCTAGCAGGGTATTTCATGATCAAAGGTTTTAAGAACAAAATAAAAAGATAGAAATAAGCAATATAAAGTTTTATTTCTCTGTATGAATAAAGAACAAACAGATCCAGTGAGCAGTCAAGAAAAATGCTTACATCAATAGCCAGGATAAAGAGCCTGCAGCAGTGTCAGTTCCACAGCCAGGAGATTCAATAGTTTGCACGGAAAAAAAAAGCCTCTTCTGAAGGACTGAGCACCAAATACTCCTCTTATCAGCTGAATCACTTCCATTTAGAGAGTCCCATTTGCAGCCTTTGTCCGTGACATGATTGCTTGAAGTCTTCTGTTCCAAGGAATACATTCCCACCTCTTCCAGCAGGTGTAAGCATGGGGAAAATACGAGGAGGCAGGCTTCTGAACTCCCTCCTGGCCTAGCAGTTCATTAATTACTTGCAGTTGTGAGCAGCATGAAATAATTCCACAAAAACAAGGTTCCTGGCCTCGGTGTTCTTTTCCTTCTTGAAACATAACCTTCACAAACCAAAACCAGATGGGCGCTATCAGTTAGGACCGAGGGGATCACGACGCATTCTGGTAAACAACACGGGGCAGCTTTTTCAGGTAACACGTCCAGGGTTATTACAAAAGGAGTTGAAAGGGATACTTAGTAAGGTACTTGGGATATTTAATAAGTTGTTTGGTAAAACCTTCCGCTGCTGTAAATATAATAGCAGAAATTTCTTCACACAAACGCGATGATTCAGTTTCCTCAATTCTTCACTTGAAATTCAGGCTCTATTTTAACAGTGGCGAGTTATAGGATCTGTTGTAACATTTCTCCTCTGAATGCTTAACAAGTATCCATTCATACCACCCCAAATTAAACAGAACTGAAGTTTCTCTAGAGTCTATAATGCACATGGTGTTTATTATGTATTAGATATCTTAAAGGAACTACAAATGGATCTACTTGAAGCACCAGTTCTCCACCGTCCGCAGATACCATGTGAAATAGCCTGCTAGAAATACCTCAACATTTTAAAACACCACATTTTTGTACAAGTCACCGTATCACCAGGCTGCAACAGAAAGCAATGACGAATTCTGCATGTGACGAAACTCATCGATGCACTTGGAGATATCAGTTCTGATATCTTGGATCAAATCCCCAGGCTGGTACGAACAGGCACAGCTTCAATGAACCCGTGCTAATTTACATCAACTGAGGCTATGGCTCCACATCAAAGCAGCCTAAAGCATTCGTCACCAACATAAACTGTATTTAAACATACATGTATGCTGGCATGTATTCACTTGACTTCATGTTTCTAAATTTCAGAGCTTAATTTTCATAGAGTTTTATTTTAAGATAAATAACATCTCAGTCGAGGAAAAACTTAACAGCGTTCACATCCAACTCTAATTTGGAAACCTGTATCTTTCCTGAATTTTCTGTCATTAATTAAAACGCAAAGGCTTCTCTTTTCTCCTGGGCCATTTCTGTAGTTCCCAATGTCATAAACGCCCCAAGCATCTCCCGTTTCGGAGCAATACTCAGTGGAAAACAAATTCTCCTGCATGCTCTTCTGCCTGCCCTGATACAAAAGAGGGTTCCTGAGAGAGGCTCCAAAACGCTCAAACTTTCTCAAATCCAAAAGAGAAAGGGCTGTTATGACATGAAGAGATGAGTAAGGCCTCCGTTCTTTCCATGCATTGCCTAGGATTTTTTGAGGCATGTAAACACCTGCCTATGGTGAGATAAAAGCAGCATTTGGGCTGATGACTCGCAATCTGGAACATTCCTTCCTTTTGGACATCAGCTAGCAACACAAGAGGTGGGAAACAGGTTACTACACCTTGCTAAGGTTCTCGCAAGATGTGTTTTTGTTTTGAAGTTGCTTTGTTTTTGAAGAACACACACAGTAATCTGATCTGTATTTGCATCTCCTTGAAAGAGCAGTATCATCAGGAAAATCTGGGTACTCCCCTTGCCACTGCTGAACCAGGCGGTACCTCCCACCCGGGTTCACTTCACAATGCCTGAGAATTGTGTTGTTGGCATATCATAACACCAAGCTCTTCACAGCTAAGGGGAGACAATACTGCTGACTTTTTCCCCCTGCAGTACACAAAACTGAATACACAAACCCAGTGGTTCCTGCGATACACCATCGCCCTGAACTCTGGAAAGTCTCATGAGAACCTAGCTGAAATCCAGCCCTCTAACACACATTAGTGTAATTTTGTTACCATGCAGAACAAACGCACGAGAATTTAATCCCTTTTGTTAGATCAGCTCAGGGAGAGTCTCCAAGGCTTTCAGATCAGCACACCGAAGAACAGGCACGCTCGTAGGAGCCTCAGAACGGCTCGTGCTCACACCACAACACTGCTGACATTCGCTGGCGCTGGTAGGAGTTGATTTTGTTCCTTTTCCACTTCGCCATCAGCAATCAGAGTCCTGGAAACAACTTTATGAACTCCAGGCATACAATTCAAGGATATGGAGGAACAAAGGTCTACAAGCTGTGCTCACAACATGCAGAGGAGGAAGTAAATGCTGCCTGTTGCATTGCTGCCCAGTCTTACTCTAGGTAGTAGGATTGGCACAGCACCGCCTGGCCACCCCACTTCACAAGGCTTACAGAACCTTAACGTGGCCTTAACCCAAGCTAAAGAAGCCCTCGATGGCTGTTCCTCAAGGAAGAGAAGCCTACCAGAAAAAGGGATCGCAATTAGAAGAGGAAATAAGGTGGATTATCAACTTGACACCTCTGCCTTTAAATCGATAGTTCACTAATTGCCAGGCTTGGGGTGCCATGACCAGTGCACAGCTACATCTGCCCTCCCTGTGGCCGAAAACATGCCAGGGTAAGCCTCCTGAGAAACAAATAGCATTTATACAGAAGGTAGCTTCCAAAAAAGGCTTTAAACTACATAAAATAAAAGCCTTTTATCATCCCAGCCCCCCGACACACCTACAGCAGGCCTCTCCACATGGACCACTCACGGCTGTTCCAAGCACCCCAGACAGAGCAAGTATCACTCAGCAAAACCCAGAAATCTGCTGCTTCCATGAACGTGCTACCAGGTTCTCAAACCTCCACTGATACAAGCAGACCAAAGCACCGAGAGCTCAAAATTTTAAGGAAAGCGTATCTGCAGTTGGCAAACCCTCCCCAGCTATTCCTGCCTGGTTTTCTGTGCCTCGATAACCACGAGGCAGAGCTGTAGCAACGTGCTGCTGCCCTCATCTTTAGCGGGCACTGAGAAGTAGATTCCGATCTCTTTTACTGAAGACACTTCAAAACCATTTTGTGTTTGAGGAAATGACAAAGAGCAGACAGCTCGGGCAATACCATTTAAGTCCTAAGGCAAGCCAAACAACCCAGAAAGATCCAGAAAGCAGTAAAAACAACCACTTCTATGTAAGCCATAAACCACTCTGCCCTCCCCGTACCTGCAAGGAGATTCTGCACAAGATTTAGAAAGGTTTCTCCTCTTCGTACAACACAGAAAGGTACAGTTATAGTATATACAAAAGGGTTTTGTATTAGCTTTCAACCCTGTTAGCAGTGGCTCAGTACCACCGGCACTGAAAGAAATTAACAGGCAGAAAGCAGTGCACAATCCTAAAAACCTCACATAGGTTTAAGAAAGCCAGCAGCAGTCATTGCCCCTTTCATAGGAAGTGGCACAGGACCAGGGCCTCTCGGCCAGATCCTGGAGCTGGAACAGAAAAACCCCGGTCTTTCAGATCCCCCTCTCAGATACCAGACGATACAGTTCAAGTCCCAACTATGAGAAACTGAAAAGCTGAAGTTTTTCTGCAAGAGGCTCAAGTCGGGATGTTAAATCATCGTGCTTTATACCTTCAAAAGTCCCAGACTGGGCACTCAAGAAAATACTTTTTATAAACTCTCTGCTTGTCATTTTTATTTAGCACTCATACCATTAAGTATATATTTATTTATGCTACAAGTAAGGATTTTAAACAATCCAAGATCCATTTTTCAAATATATCTGTTTACCAGCTCAGGCCCTTACCAAAGTAACCAGTAACCCTAAATGGTACATTTACTTAAAGTGTTGCAAGATTTGCTCTCCTAAAAGCAAAGTGTCATACCACAGAACTGAGAAAAACTTCTCATGGCACGAGCAATCTGTACACTAGAGTTAGTTAAAAGAAAATTGAAAAGAAAGTCAGACTTATACAAGTCTTAAATTTGAATAAAATTGGAGTTAATAAGCAAGCAAAGCTTTCAACAATGCTCTTTTATTCACTCTATACACAGAAACAAATTGAGTCCTTGCAACATATGTAAAAAAAAAGATCAGGAGCACACAAAAATGACACAGCTACTGAAGAACAGCTAAAACCCACAGAGCTGGCAATACATAACAGCGTTACCCGTACATACAGGGGGTCAGGATTCCGTAAGAAATCAAATGAGATCTCCCGAAGTTCGGGACTGCCTAACAGAATGGGCTCAAGAAACCCGTAAGTGAATCTGCGCTTACAGTTACTACGATGAGGAGATTTCACTTATGTAAGAATGAGGGACACACTGGGTCAAATTTCATAATTTCTGCATCCCACAGCACATAATTAGCGAACAACAAGCTTCACTTTAACTCTCGAGAGCCAAACGCTACCCAAACACACGCACACAGAGGGATGAGGAGCGAAACGAGCCCAACACATGGTGAAAGCGAGGCGCACTGCACCTACAGTCAGCCAAAGTTTTATCATCGAAGGACAGACTGGAAGGTATTTCCCCTACAGGTATTCTGATCAGGGACACTGGCAAACCTAAAGCCTTCTAAAACAACCCCCGGTTCTTGAGCAATGCTTGGGATTTTCAATAAGTTCTCTGGTGAGCTCACATCCTTCCTTTTTTGCTTAGCCATCTTTGCTCAACTGCAGACTCGCAGCCCCAGGATGAGCGTACCACAGACACAGCTTTATGTTTTAATTTGAAACATACCCTACAACAGAGGTAACCTCAATATTCCTCGCTACTTTATAAGAAACATTCCCAACCTTGAACTCAGTCTACAGGAAGCAGAAGGCAACAAATGCTCTTTCTTAAGCTCTCCTTTAGGAAGGGCAGGATAAGCTATGCATACTGATTCCTACATTCAGAAGAAAGCAGATTATATCCAGGACAAGGAAATTGCAAAAAAAGTACCCAAGCAGGACAGAATGGTAAGTAAAAATAACAAACGCTCGAGGACAAAGCAAACAGCAACAGAAGGAAAAAAAAAAAGTCTCAAAGCCCCTTTCCAGCCAGCCTTGCCACCAAATTAGGCCAGCAGAGCACAATCATTTCTGTTGCAACATTTTCTCTGCGGCTTCTCAGTAGTTAGTAGCTTCGAGAAGGGAAAAATAAAAATAAAACAACACGAAAGGTTACAGAAGTGGAGATATTTCATTAGACCGAAAGCTCCTGCAACCCCCCTGTGCCACCCTCACCCAGAGCCCCCAGCCTCTCCCTTCCAGGGCTTCATGCAGCCTGCTGGGGTGCCCTCCTGATACAAAAGCGGAGATAAAAATAAATAAATAGATAGATAGATAGATAGATAGATGGATAAATCAAAGGTCCCGGTACCGATACAAACGCTGTTTTCTGCGGATGCCAATTACAGCAATTTTAATCCCTCCACAAAGCACGCTGGGGGGAGCATCCCATCGAAAGAAAAAAAAAAAAAAAAAAGCCGCTGACCGAAATGCTCCAACTCCACAACTTCGCTGCCTAACAAAAGCTTTCAAGGCTTTTATTCCCCCCCCCCCCCCCCTTTCTAATTTGAGCGAGCAATCCGCGGTGAATTATTCATACTTCTCAACTCACATTGTTCGGCAGCCCTCCTCCTCCTCTCTCCCCTCGATTTGCTTTCCTCAAGCTATAACCTAAAATCCTCCCTTTCCCAACCAAACCTGGCGAACCAAAACCTCGGCGACCACCCCCAAACCCCCCCCCCCCCCATCTCCCCTTCCCCACACAACCGCGACCATTTGGGACCCCGAGCAGACCTCCCCCGGTGCCGGGCCGGCCGCACACGTTCCCCCTTTCCCCACCCCATCCCTAACTCTCCCCCCTTTTTGGGTTTTTTAACTCCGAGGCTCTCCCCAAGCAGCCCCACTGAGGGGGCTGCAGCCCCCCGGGCAGCGGGGAGCCGGGCTCCCCCCGCCGACAAAATGGCGACGTGGAGCAGGAGGAGGAGGAGGAGGAGGAGGAGGAGGGAGGATGAAAGAGCCCAGCAGCGCTGCGGGGAGCCGGGCTGGGAGCGCGGGCCTGGGCTGTGGGAAGGGAGGAAGGGCGCTGAGGATGAGGAGGGTGAGCCCCAAGCCTCTCCCCTCGGTACCTTTTCTTGTCGCTGACGCCGCCGGGGCTGTCCATGGCGGCGGTCTGGCTGCTGCTGCTGCTGCTGCTGCCGCCTGGCTCCGGGGCGGCTCCAATGGCCGCTGAGGGGCGAGGAGATGGCGGCGCGGCCGGGAAGGGGCCGGCGCTGGGGCCGCTCGGAGCTCAGAGCATCGGGGCAGGCGCCGGGGCCTGCGCCGGGAAGGGGAGGTGCGGGAGGAGCCGGGCACAGGGACGGAGGCTGGAGGCGGCGAGGGGCCGGCCGGGGCTGTGCGAGGCGGCGGAGGAGGAGGAGGAGGAGATAGAGGAGGAGATGGAGGAGGAGGCAGAGGCGGGCTCGGCCGGCCCGGGCCCTGCGCTGCGCCAGTGAGGAACGGCGGCGGAGCCCGGCCCCTCGGCCGCCGGGGTCAGCTGAGCAAACAGCTGGGAGGAGGAGGGGGCCGGCGCTTCACGTGGAGGGCTGTGTGCGGGGCGGGAGGCGGCACGACACGCGACATGTCGCGACATCTCACGACGTGGCGCGACGATGCGCCCCGCCGCCCACCCAGCGCGGCTGCGGCTCTGCCCCCGCACGGTCACCGGGAGCCAAAATGTCCCCGTCCCCCCCGCAGCGTGCGTCGCTTCTTCAAATTAAATGTTTTTAAGCCTCTCGTCAATTCCTAGCTCCTTTTCCCCAAAGTCATAAACGAGCTTAAAAAGCCACGTCAATTAACGAGAGCCAGGCGGGCCAGAAGGGAGAGACACTTTAACAATGCATCACAGCCGAAGCAAGCTTTAACCGCTGAATAAAACACCCCATTTTTACCCCCAAAACCCCAAAGCGGGCCGCCGGGAGGTCGTGGGGGTGCTGCCTGCCCCCCACACCCGCCCACGCGTGTCCGTGTCCCCGCTCCGTGCCCGCCGGGGGGCGCCCAAGGGTGCCCGGGGGGGACGGGGGGCAGCCCCCGGTACCCCCGCAGCCGGCTCCAGGCTGACCCCGGGGCTCCTGAGGAGCCACCGCAGCGGGGCTGGGGGCTGAGGGCACCGCGGTCGCCTCCTGGCCCGAGGGCTCTGTCATGGGTGTTGTCGGTTCTGTGGGAGGTGGGAAGGGGACGAAGGGGCTGCAGGGAGACTCCGAGGGGGCTGAGGGGAGGCCTCATGGCGGCCTGCAGCTCCCTCACGAGGGGAGCGGAGGGGCAGGCGCTGAGCTCTGCTCTCTGGGGACAGCGACAGGACCCGAGGGGACGGCATGGAGCTGGGACAGGGGAGGGTCAGGATGGGTATGAGGGAAAGGGTCTGCACCCAGAGGGTGGTTGGGCACTGGGACAGGCTCTCCAGGGCAGTGGGCACGGCACCGAGCCTGTCACAGCTCATGAAGCACTCGTACACCGCTCTCAGACACACGGTATTAATTTTGTGTGATCCTGCGCGGAGCCAGCAGTTGGACCCCATGATCCGTGTGTGGGTCTCTTCCAACACCGGGTGTTGTATGATCTTGTTGGTTTCCTCCAGCAGGAACTATAAGTGATGATACGGAGCTGAGCCATATGACACTACTCAGTCTCCATATGACACTTCTCACTTCTCAGTTCTGCGGTAATGATACCTTTTAAAAAGAAGCTCTGACAGGCAGATGTAACATCCTCGCCCTGCTGTATGCCCATGTAATGTTGTAGGAAACACCTGCAGGGCAAAACGATGTCGTTACTGGATCTTCCTAACATTTCTGCAGTGGTCTCTGAGCTTCCATGTAAGGAGCAGTCATGTTTGCATACAGACATGGCTTGGTTTTAATTTCTTTTGAAGAAAAAGCAGTGACCGTGACATTTAATAGAAATCACAGGAAGCGTCTCTATGAAACAAAATGCCTCTCCCTGCACCGGTCTGAGACGCAGAAGAGACACAGGTGCTATCGACTCCTTTTATTCCTTTAAGGTTTCTCATCCGCATACTGACAAAGCCCGGCTTTACTTAGCTTATGAGATGTGACAACACGATAGCCCATGGCAGTGTGGCTGTGGACTACTGCTATATTTATTGTTCTGTGCTCACTGGTGCCTCAAGAAGAGAAATAATCAGAACAAGACTCAAACTCGGGGCTCTTGCGTAAGTACCAAGAAGCCAAACAGCAGCTCACAGACACCTCATCTTTCCAAATGAGGTACAGCCAGTCAAAGCACTCCTGCACAGCAGCCATGCACTGTTTTAATACAGCCTCAGAGTCACCGTAACAGCCACCGAGGAGTTCCCCTGGTGAAACAGGGGGATGCACTGGCAGGGGCAGAAATGTCAAACAGTTCAGTGCCACCTTCGCTACCAGAGCCCCTGCCACTGGGACACGCCAGGGGAGTTTTGGTAGTGAAGTGTTTCTACCAGAGGTACTTCCCATGCCTGAGAGGAGGCTGGTGCAACTCTGAGCAACTGTTTCAGCTTCTCTAATGTGGGTGTGAGGGTGAAGTGGTTCCTGATGAGCTGCCACATGGCAGTGAAAGCCTGCTTTGCACTTCAACTGCGGTCTCAGTGCTCACACAAAGGTGATTGTGTTCCTTTTAAAGACCAAGTAGCACCGATGTAATCCAGACCAGGGGTTGCCTAGCTCTAACGCTACAGAACTCACCTGATCCCACCCAGCCGTCTCTTATTTTCAATCCTTTAGCTGTCGCTCCTTTGCATGATGATTAATTTTGGTGCCCATAAGCATTGATGTTTCAGGATTCACTTGTACACCTTTATTACCATTATCCAACTTTACACACTGTACAGTGCATCGAAACAGTTCCTCGTTGAATGCTCTCATGCTAGGTTCTGATCATTTTTAATAATTGAGTCACCAAAGCCCTAGATGTGTTAGCAGTCTCTGAGCAGAAGACACGGCAGAAAAAATCTCGGCGTACAAATTACTAACATTGCTCAATTTAATTGTTCAAAGATGTCGGACTTCCCAGCATGAACTGGCTGAGGAGCTGTGAATAAGTGTTGTGGTCTCCTTACTAGACACATTTCTCTCATGCCAAACATGCTTTCCCCAAGCCCATAATAAAGAACACTGCATCAAAACCCAATTGTGTTTCAGGATGATGTTAGTGGAAACTTGTTCAGCAGTTAAACATTTCATGCTACAGCATCTCTAGAGGGACGTTAAGCAAATATTCTCCCCACCATCCTCCCCTTTATTAAACTTTTGAGTCACTAAAACTCTGCATATACATTTTCTTTTCCGCTTTGCCAGTGGCTGATAACAGAGCCTTACTAGTGTATAGCACACTCACTTTTCCTGATCTTTATTGCTGTGCTAAGTTCATACTCCAACTTACGTTAAAAGAACTTCCTGAATAAAAGTCTGTTTGCATATGACTAATTAGGGCAAATGCAGAGAAGGCGAGCTGATGAGTCAGCAGGTGGCTCGGTGAGGACAGTGGCAGGGATTCAGCAGCAGAACAAATCAATGCAAAGATGTGAGATATGCTCCCGTCTGTGGCTTCAGATCTATCTGCTGATGGGCCGAATATCACCACGATGGGCACTGCATGCATTAACTCTCGGGACCCTATCACGCCCTCATCAATATTGACTGGCAAAACTTCTGCTGACTCCAGTGGGAAGAAGTCCAGGGCTTTAATTTTCTCAGGCGTCTTTCTCCCAAAGAGCACTTAGATTTTCTGAGGATGGACTTCCCGATGGGGGGTGTTAAAGAGCAACAAAGGCTCCCTCCATTTACGTCACTCGAGTTGGTGACGCACCTCGCATGGGGTGCCACTGTGACAACCCACCAGCAGCTCTGCCCTTCCTGGACCTTCGCTTGGCAGCACAGCTCATTACATTTAGGGAACTAATGTTCATCGATTCAATAAATAAGCACCGTGCTACAGTGAAGGGAACATACCAATCTATCAATATTTGGCCACAAAACACGCCGTGCCCACACAGCCCCTGTGGGAGCATCTACCTGAAATGGAAGTGCCAGAAGGTCTCTAAGGCTGCTCAGCCTCTTGGCTCCTCTGCACACTGCTATCAGCGATCTAAGGCTCGTTACTATGACTCACCGTGCTTAACAATGCAAGAATCTGAGATGTCTGATCGCCAGCTCCTTTCACAATAGAAAAGTGAAGTGAAATTTGAATTAAATTCAAATCAAAACATTGATAGTGAAAGGCTAATGCTGCTGTTACTCAGAATATTGTCTGAAACGGGAGCACACAAGGGGAGTCAGAGTCTCTCCTTGGCATCTGTTATTTCCACTGGTCTTTTCTAACTTTAGTTCCTTTCCTTCTTGTACCAAGATCTTATTTATTCTTCTGTTCACATTTGCACAATATATTTGTTTTAAGCTATGACCACCTCATAAAGCCTGCCTGACTCAGTGCACATTCAGACATTTGGAAATACTCTCCTGACTTTGATTTCTGCACAGAGAAGTACACCAATGTGGCTAACAAATTCTGCAGCATAATAAAAGCACTATGTCCAATTCAGTGTAATTAGATTTGAGGGAAGGATTTTCTACCCATGAAAGGAATTCACCAGATGAAAGCATGAGGCAAGCATGCGCTCGGCAGGCTAAGCCATGCAGTTTCACCAGTTGGCTACATCCTGCCAACCCCAGGACACTCCTGGGCAGATATTGCAAATTGTATGGTGGTTTTCCTGATGTGGACAAAAAGCAGGATGGAATTTTGAAATTATCCTTACAGAAAAGAAGGGTTTGTGGTTGAAGTCCTGGATGCTTCGGTTACAGGCTTCCCGCAGGATGCTGTACAAATCACTCAGAGAAAGGATTTCAGATCTCATTGCTGCAATCCTTCTCCACGCGCCGAGCGGGGGAGTTCACGGTGTGCCAGGCATGGAGTTCAGCTCCTCATGCAGTGCACGGGGAGACCTGTTTCCCCTTGGTCCTTTAACTCCTGCTTACAGAGACACTCAGGGATGCGGAGGAGTTGGGTTTACATCCTCACTCCGGATCAGTCAGAACAGGGATTTGGGCACAGCTTTGCCCCACCCTGCATTTGGGGGGTGCAGAGCTGCCTAAACCATGGATTTGGTGCTCCTCATCTCGGTCCTGTGTCCCTTTGAACACCCCAGGCACTGTCTCCATGGCCGTCTGTCCTGCTGTGTGGCACTGGGACACTTCCTCCTCCTCCTCCTCGCCTCTGCTCCCACACCCAGAGCACAACTTTCTCATGAGGCCACGGTGACCAGCGCGGCACCGTCTGTCATCACACAAACAAGCAGGGCACCGGCTGTTTTTACCTGTGACCAACAAAGTGTTTTTAACCTACGTCTCAGAAGCCAGCAAGACACTCCCAATCTGCCAATCAGCCCATAATACCTCATACCTACCAGGCTAGTTTTACTTTCTTCTTTGCCCAGCTTCCCTTTTGAAGGCACTACAAACGCAAGTGAAATGCCTTGAGAACACCCGGGGGAAGCCAGAGCAGCAGCCAGCAGAGGCAGCACAAACCCTGCGAGGGTCCGTGCGTGAGTTATAACCCAGAGCAGAGGGAAAATACGCGTCTCGGAAGGTGAAGTGGTTTCAATTTCATGCAGATATCTGACTCCTGCAGCTCCTTATGATCAGCAGCGACGTTTTGAAAGAAGTTTCTTTTTCCTCTTTTTGATCTTTTTCATCCCTCCTACCGAGCCCTTTGTTATGTTGCAGCCTGGACCGCAAGTTTCTCACACAAAGCAAAAAAAAGGCTGAAATAAACGCAAAGATGAAATTGAATGGGTTTCACTTGTAATTAAAATGCAAAGGGGAACAAATTCTTTTACCTGATCAAACATTGGGAACCGTTTCAAATTCTGTTTTCTTCCTGTTTTGGCATTAAAACACGCTTTCGAACGATACAGTTTGTTAAGTGCTTCTACTTAACATTTCCCCAACTTGGATCTAGCTGAAACACAAAGGACTTGAGGTTTTGTTTGTTTGTTTGTTTTCCCGCAACACATCAAAAATGCAGCGCAAGCTTTAATGACTACGTCTGTTATAACATGCCTTTTGCAGGACTGTAGGCATTTATGGGTAATGAGGTAATTAATATATTACTTAGGCATGCAAAGACAAGTTAGAGGCAGCTGTCTCTCTTCACTTGATATGGCAACACAATCATTAAAACAATGGCTTCTTACATCTGTTTTTTTTTTTTCCTTTTCTTTTCTTTTATTTTTTTTTTCTTTTCTCTTTGTTCACAGATCGCTCAGGTTGTTTGTTGAAGGCAAAGCTTCAGGAGATAGCCATATCTTCAGGACCATTTCTGTCTCAAACACACTGTCCTCTCATTTATCTGAAGTAGCTACATGAAAATAAATACCGTGATCCCTTTAAGGAAATGCTGGTATTAAAATAAACTCAAGAGCTCTCATGTTCTAGTCCCAACCTCTAAAACACGACTTTTAGAGAACATCCATTTCTCTTTCAGGCTCAGGTACTGCGGTGTCTGGGGTCCACAAGGGGGTGAAGGAGGGCTCAGGTCACACCGCATCCTGCCTTGCAGAAAGCCAGGTGGGTAGGTGAGGGGCGATGTGTAAACCAGTGTTTCTAAATCACAGGGTCAAGGAACTGATCGTTGCTCTAGGCAGAAATAAGCACTTTGCCAGCTTGATAACAAGAGAGCTGAGACACAGCAGATTACAGTTCCTTTAATTTTCTTCCGGTTAATTAAATGATCAATTGCAGCGTTGGCTTTCAGCCATGGCAATGCCTGCTTAAGTGAGCTCTCTATTTTATGAGAGGATAATCAATAGGCATCATTTACATCAGCGTTACAGGTTTTTATTTTAAAGCCAAATATCAAAATACAGAGCAAAATATTGCTGTTTTCAAAGCAAGTGGAGATCTTCTCCTGCCCCCCAAAACATCCTAACGAAGGGAAGGATGGCACTGTAATTACAGCTTTAACTTGGGATGTGTTTTCACTTCTCTGCTTACCATAGACTTCCTGCATGACCACAGACAAAACACTTAGGCCCAGATATGCAAAGATATTCAGGCAACTGAGATAAAAATCAGCTGGAATTGTGTACATAAATAGTTTGTGGATTTGGGCCTTTGTAAGAGAGACTGAGCTCCCCATTTACTAAGGGGTAGTAGGCACTTCCAGTGCTGCAGCAGAACTGCAACGAGTCACGTCACAGAAGACATTGGCCAAGCCAGAGACAAGGAAAGGCAGCAACTGAACACCTGCAAGGTATTCGACCACAAAGCAGCATCTGAGCACACTGCCCAGTGTCTTCTCGAGGTGTAGTGAGTGCATCCAAGTGCTACTCACCTCCATCAGCAACATCTGGATTCCCCCTTTGCTTGCTTCCAGACGTTCCTTGGTTCAAACTCTTTTTTTCCCAAGGACGGTAGCTGGAGACACTATGGAGAGCAGGGAGGGTGAGGTGTGGGGCAGTGAAACAAGGACCACCAGCACCGGGCTGTCAGTGCATGTGGGAAAATTAAAGAAAAAAATTTTAAGACATAGCATGGACTGAGGGCATTGCCATACTGTTAATGATGAATTCGGCAGTCCTGTCGGGTTATGGTAGGTTGAAGCTAACAAGCACAGCACTTCAGAGGACAGGAAAACCCTGGGTTCATATGTCAAAAGATGTCAAGACAGGGTGGAAAGTGTCTGCCAAGGAACTAAGTAAGCAAAATTCAGGGCCATAATGACAAAGTTGGTGCATCAAACCTCTCTTTGCTATCTGAGATCATATGTTAAGTAATTAAACTGTTTATCAATAAGAGGCAACTCATGAGCGTGGGAAACAAAGATCTCATAGCAACTGGATCTAGATAAGAATGACCACAGACCTCACCATTTTCAGAACCAAATGAAAATTTGTTTATGCTGCCAGCTTTTGCTCAATACAAATCTTTAATGCATATAGGCATTCATGCACTCCACAGAGAAAGATATATGCAAACTAATCAGGTTTTCTTTTTCCTGTCTTGGAAAGAATAATAATAACAAAAAAAAAAAAGTTAGTTCATGGATGTGATTTTCAGTTTTAGGCCCTTGAGGAACCCTCAGTTCATCATGACCAAAATACCTCACCAAAATCTAGACGGCAAAGTCAGCAAGTAGTTAGTTCCATTTCATCACTGCTTCCTGTCTGCTGCCATTATTAGAAGAAAAAAAAATGCAAAGGAGCATACCAATAGCAGCTCTAACACTAATTTATGTTACTAAAACTGCTGCACAAAGCTGAGAGGAAACAGTACTGCCAGCAACCTCCCCCAGGTAAAAGCAAGCACAGTACAACAGCTTGTGGGTTATTGATAGGACTAGCATTAAAACTAAGCCATATTCTCCCAAAACAGCAACAGAAGAAATCTGTTTGGCAGAGCAGAGCGTGGTTTCTGGAGGAGGAGGGATCCATCCAGCTGCAACAGGAACATTTTTGCAGGTTTTTGAACTGAAAACAAACAAACAAACCCAAATCAACCCGTTAGGTACCAAGGCCCGCAGGAGAGACCATCTATGCGAACTGGACCAGGAATTCACAGGCCAGAGAGTCTCAGTAGTGGTTAGAGGTGTCTGTACTCCTAGGAGTGGTTTATTGGGCAGGAACATACACCTGGCTCCAGTGCACGTGGTGCAGAGCTCACCTGGTACTCTCAGCCTGACGTGTCCAGATCACAGCACCCTCACCCATCTCCGAACCATCCCTAGGGCCTGGACAGACAGAGAAAGGCCCACAGTGGTAGTGTTAGAGGGAAGAAACATATGGGTGATATCTCAGGCTCTTCTGTAGTCCACCTGAGACCGAGCAATGCCTCTCAGGGGTGCAAGGTGTCCCCGGCTCCGTGCTTCAGGCAGTGCCACAGCAGGACAGGCAGGGACAGTGTTAAAAAGGAAGCGTAGCCACGATAACAAAAACCAGCAGAAAATACCCCTTCCTCCCTCAAAATGCAAACAAGCAGGCTTGGCTCAACCAAAAGGTCAGCTCGTTGCCAGCCCATTGACTTCTTCAAGATCACGTACACAGCCAGTGAAATTCCCAGGGATGCATCCCAAGTTTCCAAATTCACAGATCTGTGCAGTAACCACTAATCTGGCAGGGATTTTTACAGGCAAAAAGTCCCTCTTTTTTTTTTTCCCTTGTCAAGAAGAGACAAGTAGCTAGCATCATATGACTTTATATTTTTCCATGTAAAGCAAACTTATCTTTAAAAAAAATGGTTGAAAATGATTTAAATAAGCTGAAAACTATTAAGGAGCAATGTTTATTTGGCAAAAAATAATAATGATAATAACAAAAAAAATATAGTTATCTCATGTCCAGGAGTCCCTCATTAACTTGAAAAGTTTCCACATGACCTCAGGGTTTCTGGAAAATGTATGAACATCTCTCAGCATCTGCTGCTTATGATGGTAAAGAAATTGTTACCGTAGCCACATGGAAATAGTAATGAAGTTTCTGTCTGTGACTTCTGAGGCAGCACAGCCAAGCTGCTTTCTTTAAAAAAAAAATAATAATAATAAAATAGGCACTTAACTCATGCATACGCATGCCCACCTGAAGGATGCTACTCCACACACTGCAGCCCAGTTGCTGGTGGTGGGTTTGGGGTCTGTGCCAGTTTCCTGGGGCTGGATGTGGCCAGGAGTGCCGGGTGCCAGAGAAATCAGGCCACGCTCCTGCAGCCTCATAGCAGGGGTATGAGGAAAAGAGCGTTTCCTGGAGTTCGCTGACACATATGACCGGAGAAAGTCAATCTCATCGATGATTATCTCTCCTTCTGGTGGCCCTCTCTAATCTCTCCTGCCTGGGAGGCTCCTCCCAAATGCCTCCTCGCTAAACAGCAATTAAAGCACAAGTCCATTAGCAACCCCGTGTTGTAAAATGGCTCACAAGCCGCAGAGCGCTGTGAAGCCTGTCTGTGACAGCGGGGCTCTGGCTTATATCTGGCTGCTTTCCAGCACCAGGAACATCCATCACTCATCCCGAGACCTTGTCAGGGTTCGTGTCCCCTCATAACTCTGTCCCAGCCTTTACAAAGTGCCCGAGCTCCCTGTGTGAGGCCGGCTGAGGGAGGCCAGGACATGGGTTGGGCCCTGCAGTGGGTGACAGGAGATGGCCTGGCTGATGGTGACAGCAGGCCTGGGAGGCTCTGGCCAGCTCCTCAGGTACCACAGGGACAGTCTTGATGGAACAGGAACAATTAGAAAAATGGGCAGGAGGAAGCCATTGCTCATGTCCTTCCTGAGGTGATTTGGTCTCATTTTGATTTAGAGCAATCTATGGCACGTATGCCAAGAGACGGGCTTTTGGGCAGAAACCAACCCCTGAGTCCATCCAGCAGAAAGTAGCTTGGCAGAGAAGGACTGGGAAGTCCTGGTGGATGCCAAGTTGAACCTGAGCCAGCAAGGTGCCACAAAGGTGGCTAATGGGCCATCCTGGGCTGCATTGGGCACAGCATGGCCAGCAGGCCAAGGGAGGTGATCCTTCCCCTCTGCTCAGCCCTGCTGAGGCTGCACCTGGAGTGCTGGGTCCAGTTCTGGGCGCCCCAGTACAAGAGAGACCTGGGCATACTGGGACAAGTCTAACAGAGGACCACCAAGATGCTGAAGGGGCTGGAGCAAAATGGCCTGTGGGGAGAGGCTGAGAGAGCTGGGGCTGCTCAACCCAGAGAAGAGGAGATTTGGGGGGATTTTATCAATGTCTGTTGGGCCAGAAAACCTCCAGAGGTCCCTGCCAACCTCAACCATTCTGTGAATGGGGAACCCAGCACTTACCTCTCCACTTCTCAGCTTGTCTCCAGGACCATGGGCCCAGCTGTGACACCCTGTGCCTCCATTTATACTACCAGGAGTGCAGTTTGGAACAGTTTGGAGCAGGGTTTCTGTGAGGCTGAGGTTCAGGGCTTTAAATGAGAAACCATCATCTGCTGTGCTCTGGGGGCACAGGTGTGGCGAGGGGAGGATGAGCAGTGAGATAGAGCTAAATTTGTAATCCCTCCCTTCACAAATAATCCCTGCTCTCATGACTGATCTCTGACGTTTTGCTCCAGCAGGTCATAAACATCAGCTCTCCCGGTACAAAAATGGGACATTTCCCCAAAACATGTTGTATTTGGCTGATGCTGCTGAGTGCATGAGCTTCCACACAAGCCATTTCCCCTTTGCTGCATCATTTCTTCTGCATATCAGCATGGCCGACACCATTTCCCCTCTTATGAAAGAAAGAGATAAAGAGCTATTTGGAAGGCTTCAGTGAGAGTAGACTGAGGGTCTGGGCTCCTTGCTTGCTTGCACACTTGGGAAGGTGACGAGGCAAGCATGGGGCATTCCCTGGGCATCCTGCTGAGCTGTCTTGGGGAGGACCCCAAGGTCCCAACCAGCACAGGGGATCAGGAAAAGGATGGAGGTGACTGGAGAACACAGGGATAATAAACACATGACTCAGGGGCGAAGTGGTTTCAGCAGAGGGATGGCAATGCACGAGCAATAAAATGGGAGCTACCAACACCACGCTGTCTGTAACCACACACCACACTTGCTCAGCTTTCCAGGAGGTACAAGGGAGAAGAAGGAGGGATCTGCTGAGGAGCCGTGGCACGACCCATACCAAAACATCCCTGTGGACACAAAAGATGAGGAGCAAATCCCATCGCAACCTGGAGGGGTGCCTGGGGCCAGGTAAGTGTGAGAGGTGCCGCAGGCAAGAGTGCACGAGTGAGAGGTGGGAATGGGCTACAGAGGGGCTGGGTGGTGCTGGGGGTGTGCAGCCACCCCATCGGGGCCTGTCTGCTTCTCCTGCCTAGGACAGAGGATTTGTGCCGGGGCAGCCAGCCAGTGCCACTCTCTGAGCCCTGCTGCTTCTGGAGCAGCGCTGCCATCGCTACTTTCGGCTGTTTACTTTAATAAATGCTCTCCGCAAGCGGCCTTTTAATGGTATCTTTTCCCTCTGGAGGATGTGACGCGTGGTAACAGCCTGCAGAAACACCCGCCCGTCTGTCTGCAGAAATAGCCCGAGCAGGGGGCTGGCTCCTGAGTCACGCTGGAGAAAGCGGTGAGCTGGCTGGAGGTGACCCAAAACCCCTGAGTTTCGCAGAGCCCGGCGGGGGAAAGCTTTGCTCCTCATCCCGTGCTGCCCGATCTGCTGCCGGCTGCCCCGTGCTCTGCTCACACTCATGAGATGTGTCTTGTGCTTTCCTGCACAGGGATTTACTGACGTCGGCAACTCACGGAAAGCCACCGGATATTAAAAAAAAAAAAAAAATGCACCGGGATTAAAAAACATGAAAAACATAAAATATTAACAGCAGCACTGACTTTAAAAAGCCTTGACATAAGTAGAAAATGGAGCTGGAAAGTTTCATAAAGGTTTCAAGAACGGAGGGTATTTTGTGGCAGAATACTGCTCTCTGTCACAAGTGTGGAGGGAGCATCTGGGGGCAGAGGGACCCGATGACATACATCTGCCTTCATGTGTATTTTGGAACATGATTTATTTGTGTTCATTGAAATGGCAGCTTTTCTGGTAATTTCTTCCTTTCCTAGCAAAGAAGCCTTAATCTCCTTACTGGAAATTGTACTATTTATGCAGCAAATCCTGCCTCTGAAATTGCTTGAGATCACAAGTTATGTAACCTGAACAGATGGAGTTTGACCATTTTTTTTTTTCTCTTTGTCAATTCATATTACAGTCTGAACAGGCTGCAATCATTTATCAGCTCATTTGCAGCGTAGACAACATAGAGTAAGGAGTTGAACTATGAAGTTAATATACTCACACGTAGGAATGCTTACGCCAGTGACGAACCATCACTGAGCAGCAGTGATAATAATAATGCTTATTAAGGACTTTCCTCATTCTTACAAACATAGCAAGCATTACGCACGTAGTAAGATGCACATTATATCATGTCCGTCATCCTGCAAAGACATGAATATGGCTGTATTTACACAGGGGATAGGTGTGATTATCTGCAGCTCTGGTGTGAAGGTAGGTGTCTGAGAGTGTCTGTGAGATCAAACAGATGAATAAGGGGGAAGGAGGAGCTGCAGAAGGGCTGGAGAAAAAACAGGCCAGGGAAAGGCAGCCAGAGTGAGAGCCCTGATTAATGCTGCCCGGTTCAACCCTTCAGCAATATTAAGTCTTAAAATGATGAATCGTCCACCCAGCTCCCAGCTGATCACGTGCGTGCCCTATAGAAGCCAATACATAACATACAACATGCAGCTTTAACTTTCACATCAGCTTAATGGTCCTTCTGTTAACACTCATGAGCAAGCAGATAAAATCCTGAAGGGCTCAATTATGTTTGTAGAGATTTTATCTTTTTTTTTTTTTTTGGTACCAGCGTGGCTGTTCTTATTACATGTGAGTTTAAACTGAAGTGAATCAAGGCCATAAGGAATTAGATGGAAAAAGATGATGAAAAGGGACAGGAGGGAAAGGTAAAAAGCAAAGGTTATTCCAAAATAAGATCTATATGCATGACATCTCTTAGGTGTCCTTGAAATTGAAGGGGGCTCGATCAGACAAGCTTAGGGGAAAGGGAGAAAAAAATAATATTTTGAGCACAAATCTGGTTTTCTATCAAGCCAAAGTTCAACCAGGGCTAAAAAAGCCACCAAGTTTAAATACGGCCTCAGTCCAACCACATTATATACTTTTATTCCGTTCTGTGGGAATGTTCAATGTGACACACTTGCATATTCGGGGCCAAACTGCAATCTAAGGCTCAGCCCACGTCGAGCAGCTTTGCTAGAGGAGAGCTTTCAAGAAAACCTCAGAAAGCCGAAACGGAGCTCGTGGTATGATGCAGCACTTTTTTCCAAAGTAAAACTGAAACAGAGGCACGATGCAGCCACCAAGGCTGCTGTTCTACTTATCCATGGGTGCAGTTTTTCCTCTTTTTTGGGCAGCTGTGGAGCAGTGGCTCCTGAGAAACCCCGGTGATGCTGTAAGTAACAGCTCGCCTCCACACTGCAGTTGCACCCTGTGGTCATGCTGGGGGGGATGGCAGCAGCTCAAGTCTCATCACAAGATAAAACCTGGTTTGATCCCATCTTTCACTTTGCTTAGACCTAAATGCATCCTCTGGTCTCCTTTCAAGGGACCAGCCTAAAAAAATTAGCCAGGGAGCTTACTTGCAGCCAGAGGCTCCATCAGCCCCTTCCTGCCCTCACTATTGACAACAGATCTTCCTCTAAAAACACTTCGGATCAGGACAGTAAAAAACAACCTAATGGGAGCTTCAAACTTCAAATTTTCCCTTTCATAATGTCTTTAAGACTGCAGAGACAACAACAGATTTTAATGAAGCATCAAGCAACAGAAAAAGTTACAAAGCCAAGTGGATGGCAGAAGGAATAAAAATTTCAAAGCCAGCCCCGACTTTAGCCAGGGAATTGCCATTTCTTGTGCACAGGTGCTATGCAGCACCTCAACCTGCTTTCTTCTGGGTTGGGGGCTTTACATGCCTGGTACTGCTGATCTGAGAAAAAATATAATGGGTTTGTAGTCCATTCTGGATCCTGGCCAGTGGTTAATATAGTCAGATGCTTTCCTATTAGAAAAAAAAAAATCAGATCCCCTTTTTTATTTATTTTATTTATTTTTTTTTTTCCACAAGGAAAGAAAGCCCACAAGCCTGTGCTCCTGCCTACAAATGCATGTAAATGTTTAGCTGAACACGATTTTGCTCAGGCTTATGAAGTGCTCTTTCTTTAGCTTAGCTTTTCCCTGGATGATGTAATTTACTTGACCGGGTATTTTCTACTCTTGCACAACTGTGTTAGTCGAGCTAAGCAGCTTAATCTGAGCGCCAGCCTGGCACGCGGTGTGCCAAATGGTTGTTCAGTGCCCTGCGAAAAGATCTGCTATTTTTGCGAGGCAAAAGGATTGCTCGTCTGCGCCCGAGCTGACTTTCAGATGGATGTCAGTCTGTTTGTGTGTAAGTAGGTCTCGGAGCCCCAAGGACTCGCGGGCTGGCTGAGCCAGACGTGGTCGGAGCAGTTACCTAACAGAAGCGGTGCTAAGAGCAGAAAAATGCTGTTTTTCCCCGTTTTTATGATGGCTATCCTGGGTCAGAGGATTTAAAGGGCGCGGTCGTGACTTTAAGGGAGCACCCACAGCCCTGGCTGTGCTGACAAGATCCTGCCTAAAACTCCAGCACCGCAAAGCTCTTGATTTTAGAGCCTGGGCTTGTGGGGGACTGGGGAAGAAAAAGGAGGGAGAAGAGAAAAAAAGTAGATTTTTTTTTTTTTTTACTGGATGAGATTCTCAGACAGGGGAAACGGGACAGATTGATCACCTTCAGAAAGCACATTTGGTTTAAAAGTACAGCCCAGGCTGCAGAAGGTTTGTCCTGTCTGTAAGGCACCACAAAACGCTTCAGCATCGCTCCTTCTGTCTGCCCTTAGGGGTGGGATAATTAAGGTTGCGCTGTCTGAACCGCTGATTTTTTGGTTCACTGGTCAAAAACTTGCTTAAAATCAACTCGAACTGAAAATTTCACTCCCTGTTTTGCTGGGGTTTGGGGGAAGCTGACCTTTTTCCGTCTGTCACTCCAAATTATTAATGTAATTCAGACGCTATTCAACAAAACTATTTGTCATTAGGACTAGGGATGTTTCAGGAAGAAACAATCACATCATGAGTAGTTTTACCACTGTAAAATTACCTCCTAAATTCAACTCGGGTGTCTCTGAAACTGCATGCTCCTGCAGCGACATTTCTGCCTGGACTGCTGGTGGTCTCCGTATTGATATGCAATTCCTCGCTATTTCTGCATATCAAAGACTTAGATTTGGTGCATCCAATCACATCTCCCTCTTGTGGCTACATCCACGGACTAAAACAACCTGCTGTTTGTTGGATGGGATTACACGGCTTGCTTCTTTTGCTAGCACGTCGTTTTCCAGCATCAAACCTTGCTGACGGCAGCGAGGGGATGGCTGAGAGGCCACATCACAATTCCCTGCCTTGTGTTTCCCAGCAAGATGCCACCAACTGCACCGGGAACACAAATTCCCCAGAGAGCAAGATGCAAATCTCCGAGTCCCAGAGCACTGGCGTTTGGGCTTGGGGACACCGATGTCCAACTGCGGGGCAAGAGCTGGGGATCCTGAGAACCCCACACCACCCCAGACAGCTCGTCATTTAGACAAATGCCCATGCCCAGCTGAACAAAACCAGTAAACAGGCAACCCTGATGAAATTTGGTCTTCATCAGAAGTTTTGCCCCCTCTTGCAGAGGCTTCCCCCTAAACAACTACACCGCTGCAGATCAGCGCTCCCCATTTGGGTTTTACATTTGGCTTTTAGCTGCTTTTATAGTGATATCCCTTCTCCTGCTAACGGTCTCACAGCAAACGATATTTCATTTTGATGAGGAAGCTCTTGAGCAGAAGCCAGGTTGCCCCAGGCAAAGCAGATTTTTATTTATTTATTTATTTATTCCCCTACAGTTTAATCAGTAGGAAACGATCAGTAGGAAAAGAGTCCAACACTGTCCTGCGAAGGTGAGCGGCCGCCTTGGGATGAGATTTTCCTTTCTCCTGCTCCCAACAACAAAACCAGGAGCCAGCATCCACACTGTCTAACACGAACCCGACCGCCCTGGTCCTCAGCCCCCCTCCATCAGGCTAACGGCAGCGCAGCTGATTTTGGGGCACAGAACAGCCCGTGATCGGCCCATCTCTTATTTATTAAAGAGTCAGCTCTACCTTTCAAGAGGAAATGGAGAACATGGTTCGAGTTCCCGTTTGTGTCCTTGCCTCAAGAGGAAGGCAGCTCCTAGGCAGCTCCTGGCAGCTGTTCAGACAGCGTGAAAAGCCACTGAAATTATATATATGTATTTTTATAGCTCTACTGTCTGAAAGGGTCAAGGCTGGCTGCTGTGAGGGAAGGTGTTTCTAGACAAACATAAATGTGACGCTGTGTTTGCGGGAGGTGACTCAGCTACGAAAATATGTGCCTTTTATCACATGTTTCTAACTCGGTGCAGGAGCAGGCGCAGGGGACACAGCGCTGCTTGTGCTGCGGTGGGATCCAGCTCAACCTCTCCATCCAAATGCTGTTTATCTGCCAGGGAACGGAGCTTCACCTGGTGTCACACTGCACAGACCAGACACTTCGCAAGGGCTACGTACCCAGTCTCACGACCGGCGGTGCTTTGCTGCTCAGCCTTTTATACAGGGGCACCCCAGGCTGAGAGCCACAGGGGCTGTGTTGGCTGGGACTTTTCCTGCCTTATTTTCATCAGGATCAGCCTGAAACTTATCCCAGTGCCTTG